ATGAGAAGGGCTGCTCGTCTTCTTTACCGCTCAGCGACAAAATTCATGGGTTGTGCAGATACACTGAGTAGCCACACCCATCAGGTCTTATTTTCAGGGTAGGGCTTATATTGCACAAATGCTTAGAAATCCTGCTAGGGCTTATTTTATGGGTAGGTCTTATTTTCGGGGAAACACGGCACTACACTAGCTGCATGAGAGCTGCAGGGGCAAACTAGGGAGAAGCCCAAAGAAAAAGGCCAACTAGATAATAGCCCCTTAAACTTCCTCTTCTGACCTTATCTTTCCTCCTCATAGATGGGGATGGGGGAGCTTTGAGTGACTCTAGAAGCCAAAAGTCTAACTTCAACTAATGTCTGTTTATGGATAGACTCCTTAACACGTGCTTGACCACTGAGTGGAATGTGAACCCAGACCAATGCCAGGGTGTCTTGACTTTGAATCATCAGAGCTACCGAAGTACAGCAAATTATAATAAATTCTGCCAGAAAGAGACAGGGTGGGGCTGAGGTTGCTGTTCTTGATGACATAGTCCCCAAATACGGGGTACGGCAGCATGCAGGGTAAGAATTGTGAAATTCTATACTGGGGAGTTCTCAATTGTTGCTCCCAACTAGGTTGGCCCCTAAAATTAAACCATAAAACCAAAACTACTATTAATAATTGTGGTCTAATTAATATATTCCAGATAATGTTTGCTTTTATGTGGATGATTATCTACATGGACAAGGAAACAAGGGGAGACAAAGGCTTTTTCCGTGTTTATTCAATGCTTCCTAGAGGAAGAGAGACTTGCTGGAAGATTAGGCAGACACAGTGCTCCAAGCACGAGAAAACTATACGCTTCAGTGAAGCACAAAAAGTTTTCTAAGCTTTCCTGCAGTCTGGATAAAATATTCTCAAAAAAAAAATTAGCCAAGTCCCTTAGCTCCAGTTTCTTGCTTACCCAGCAACCATCTGATTATTAATTAAATTGGTATTATGGTTTTAAAATGAGTCTTTTATGATTTGCCTACCATTAATCAAACCCCTAGGGCTTATTCACTTCAAGGGGGGCTGACAAAATTGAATTCTTTAACCTGCAAAATCCAGGGCCCCAAAATACCATTATTTCCCCTCACCCCCAACCACGAGGCCCAGCCCAAACCCTTGGCCAGCCAACTCTCCACTCGGGCTAATCAGCTTACTCACAATAATATCAGTGGGAATTTCAGTGTCAACAGACCACAGCTTAGCAGTTGACCTGCATCCTCAGCAAGTCAATGACGAAGAAATGCTTTATCTATTTATATAAAAATTTTTAATACTCTGAGAGTGAGACTATTCTAAAAACATAGACAAAATTAGCTGGGTGTTGTGGCTCACCTGTAGTCCCAGCTACTTGGGGGGCTCCGGCAAGAGGATCACTTGAGCCCAGTTGGAGATTGCAGTGAGCTATAACAACCCCACTGCACTCTAGCGGGGATAACAGAGCGAGACTCTCTCTCCACAAAAAAAAAATAATAATAATTTTTTAAAAATAGATAATTCTGTCTATTATAAAGGAGAGGGCAGAAGAACCATAAACTAAAAGCTGGGCTGAGTTGTTCATTAACCATCGCATATTCTATAGTAGGAGGAAGAATGTTGCCATCAAATTAGTATTCTTCACCCCAATTAAACATCTAAGCTATAGCCCCAGGGTCAGATCATGAAGAAAAACACTACAAGGCTAAGAAAAGACATAAACTTGTAGCTTAAATGCTTCTCTGATGCTCCTTTTGTTTTATGGCCTTTGGTCCTCACTGCTGCTGCTATAGCAGGAGATCACACGGTATCTATAGCAACCACTTAGGTCTCCAGGCATGTGGTGACCTTTGACCTTAATTCATCCCTCTTCATGGATCCCGTGTAACCATCTTCCAAAAAGAGCTTTCCGAAACGCAAACAAACACCGGAAAGGAAGACCTTCTTATCTTTAGGAGTGTGTGTTTAGCCCTATAACCCTCTGTCATCCCTTGGGCAAGAAACATTGGACTTTTCTTGTATTTGTCATTGACATTTGTTATATATAAGCATTCCTTTGACAAAGGAATTTGTCATATATAAGCATTCCTTTGAAAAATTTCCTTGTTGACCCATTAGCCAATGCACTCCCTCTCTCTTTTTTGTTTTTTCCTTCGTGTTTCAGCCTTTCTCTTCTCTCACCTAAAACACAGCAAGCCTCTTCCCCTGGAGCTGTCTTGCTTCAACCCCAGACTACCTGCATTTGATCTGGCAAACTTTTCGCTTCTTTTTAAATTAAAAAAAAAAAAAAACTCTATCTCTGTAAGGCTTATCAATGATTTTCCAATCAGATTCATGATGCTCCCTGTAATTGCCTCACCTTGTCCTCACCCCATTGTCTTGTTCAGATGCAAATTGTATTAATGATTTCCAGATCGATGAGAGTTCAGAAAGCAGGCAAGTCAAAGTGGCCAAGGGCATGAGGCTTAGAGGATACTCTAGGACAGTGACTTACAGAATCAACCATGAAACAATGTCAATAGGATGGAGTAGTGGGTGGGAACTAACAGGATGAGATGTAGCAGAGATAAACATATAAGAAGGACTTTGGCAATGAAAGGAAAACAAAACCACAAAACAGAGGTAAACATTGGTTCCCGTATTTAGGTTGTAATTCATAAATGATCAAAGTACAGGATGCCGGATAACACGTGGTGATTTTAGATCATTGTGACCAACAGATCACAATGGGTAGTGTTATGATGAAGGAAGGGTCACAGCTACTGCAGTGACAAATGCACTCAGGGGACAACATGTGCAGTAGATTGCCTTTGGGAAGGAGGCAACAGTCTCCATGTCCTGGGGTTATTTTATCTGGACGATGTGTGTGGTTCTGAGCACTACCCTTGAGGAGAAACATTGGCCAGTAGGAATATGCCAGGAGAGGAAGTTCAGGGCTGTGAGGGTTCTAGAAACTAAGCTTGAAGAGGATTCAGAGAAGTGGGAAGTAATGTCTATTTGGCAAAAAGAAAATAAGCTGTCATTCCCTACTTAGATGGCTGTCAGGAGATCACAAATTTTCAAGAGGCTGGGCAGGAATATAAATGAGAGAAACAGGACTTGTGTATGAAAAGAAAAAAACGTCAGGCATGATAGGCCACTAGAAATGTTCCATAGCCTCAGAGTTGGAAGACAGGCTTCGGGAGCTGTGATGTCTGAGAGTGACCTCCCGCTGAGCGTTGTCTCATGGGAAGGTAGGCCTAGTCCTGTCATCTTTTCTGATTTCTCAAGAGAAGCCAGAAATCCAAATTTTTATGCAACACGTCTTGATTTTTAATTTTAGCTACTATTTCAACATGTTTAAAGCCCAGGGTTGCCCATTCACAGGGTCTACAGGAGATGATGCTTGGTTTCAACAGAGTGTGGTGCTAACATGCATGGGTGGGTGATTTTGCTCAGATTATGAAAGAACTTTTGAATATTTAAGATTCGTAGTCAGAGAAAAGGCTCTCTCTCTATCCTGGTTTTAAGCACTGGGAAGTAGTAAAGAGAATATTGGATGACATTATAGAAGAGATGTTATTTAAGAAAGGATTTTCTCCTTAAGCATAGATGCTGAAACAAATTATATTACCCTTATGTTTTCACACCAGAATTGTGGTTTATAGTTTACAAAATGTTTTAATATCATCTCGTATTAAAAAGTTATCAGAACAGTCCTTTGAAGTAGAAAAGTAGATATTTCTGTTTTACAAATGGGTAAGCTCAGTATCTGAGATATTAAATACCTCCCAGAAGGTCACTCAGGAAATTAGGCAGCAGAACTAGGATTGGATGACTTAGGTCATCTAACTACAAATTCGGAACTCTCCCATTGCTACTTCCTAGTTAGACTCCAAGGCTATAAGATTGCATTCCTAGTTACGCTCTCAACTGGGTTTGCTTATTGTTGCTTTCCTGTGGTCAACCCACTCTCCCCAAGTCTTCTGTACATTTCCATATTCCTGGAAGGCCTTTCTGTTCCTTCTATTACTCCCTGAAAGGCCTTATCCTGCATGATTTCTTGTTGAATTTCTTCCAACATGTCACTTATGGGTATGTTCCCCCAATTCTCAGTGCTCCAAACTGGACTCATCCTTGACATGTATTTGTCCAAAATGTTTGTCTTCTCTACATCTTCTACATATTTGTCTTATAATGACAGCACACTGTCTTAATTTATTCATGAACAAAGCCACACATGCATGTGCACATATGCACACACACATAGGAGTTGGTACTTGATCAATTAATCATACAATTAATATAGTTTCTGGACTTGTAGGTTGGACAGGAGGAAAGGAATCCAACCATGGCCTCTAGTTCTCATAGGCATCTCCATTTCCTCCCAGAAATTCTGATTCTGACAAAAGCCAGCTGATAGTCATGTCCCTGCATGCCCAGTGCAGAAGACACAGTAAAAAAGACTTGGTTCTCTACAATTCAGGCTCATCCATGCCAGTTTGAAATATGTCATGATTCCTTGGGTTGAGATGAACTTTATCTGGGTAGAACACATACTCCAAAAAAAAAAAAAAAAAAGAAGAAGGAAAAAATTGCTGACTAAGCAAAGCTTCCAAATGACTTAGTTTGGCTAAAACACAGGCTTTTAAAACTGTGAGCACTGCCAAAGGTTTTTCCTTGTTGACCCATGGGCCATACATCAAGTACAAGGACATTTTCTAATGCGCTATATTTAAGCCTGTGCAGCCCAATGTCATTCAACAAGAAATAAATTATTACAACTTGCATATGTAAACTAAAATAAAAGACAAAAATGTATAGAAAATGGAAAACATACCTAGAAATAGGTAAGGGAGGAGGGGAAAAATCCCAAGAATGTTGCTACATGAAGCCAATCCGGGAGAAAACTATTTTTTGTTTTGTTTTGGTTGTTTTGTTTTGGGGATCTAGAGAATCAAATGACCTAGTAAGAATATTTCATAGAGCTAATGTTCTGATGCTCTAATCTCTCTAGACAAGGTTCATATTTGTGTGGGTTACTTATTCTCTCTTTGTTGACTAAGTCAATAATCAGAATCAGCAGGTTTGGAGTCAGATTGGCAGGGATAATGAAGTGTGGCTCAGGAGAAGTGAGTATAAAAGCCCCAAGCTGGGAGCAGCCCTCACAGACGTCCGCTAGTTCGTGGCAAGATGGCTTCCCATGGTCTGCTCCTCCTTTGCCTTGCTGGACTGGTGTTTGTGTCTGAGGCTGGCCCTGCGGTGAGTGTTTGATTCTGTAAAATCCCTTTCATATATTTGAGGGGAGCACTAGACAAAGTAGAAGTGACTCCTTCCAGTTTTGCCAAGCAGCTTTTGTTACTGGGGCAAGGATACTCAGCATCTACTTTTAACATCATTAATTCAAACCTCAAAAAGAATGAAGTTCTGCAGAGCTTATTGAACCGGGGCTTGGACTCTAGGCGCTCTCCTTCATTGGTGCATTAGGTTTGCAATGTCTGGCGCCTCAATTATCTCAAATAGACAGAAATAAAGATATGGTATTCATTAAGCTGTTAATATTGAATTTTCAGAAAAGCATCCCTTTATAAAATTTATTTGGGGGTAAAACTGCATGAGATTATATTCTGGCCCTTTAGCTAATTAAAATGTATTAATTGATTAATTATGTATTTATTGAAAGGCTTGGGGAACAACTTTCTAGGCAGACATCTAATTCCGAAATCCTCTAGAGGAATTAACTAATACTATAAAAATAAGTCAAAAAGCAGCCTACTGTTATTTTCTAACAACTAGTAAGAGGGAATTACTACAGCAACAACTGACTAAAACGATCTCAGGAAAAACTCTTTGTTCCTACGTATGGCGCATTACATCTTTTCAGTAATTCCACTCGAGTGGAGAAGTTAACACACCAACTGTTCTCAGAGGGCCTATTTTCTCCCTCAAAATTCATTATACACGTCCCTGGTCGATAACAGCATGACTGGAGGCAGAAACCATTCTTGCTTTGGAAACAATGATATCTGTGTTATACTGAGTAAGGAAGCTCATTAATCGTCAACACTTACATTCCTGGTAATGGGATCAGTGTATACTTTCTCTTTTGCTTCTGATTTCTTTTTTTTTTTTGAGACAGAGTCTCGCTTTGTTGCCCAGGCTAGAGTGAGTGGCGTGGCGTCAGCCTAGCTCACAGCAACCTCAAACTCCTGGGCTCAAGCGATCCTGCTGCCTCAGCTTCCCAAGTAGCTGGGACTACAGGCATGCGCCACCACGCCCGGCTAATTTTTTTTCCATATATATTAGTTGGCCAATTAATTTCTTTCTATTTATAGTAGAGACAGGGTCTCGCTCTTGCTCAGGCTGGTTTCGAACTCCTGACCTCAAGCAATCCGCCCGCCTCAGCCTCCCAGAGTGCTAGGATTACAGGCGTGAGCCAGCGCACCTGGCCTGCTCTAGATTTCTGACACCATAAAGATTAAATCCTTTCCCGCTGACCAGTTTTGTTAACTTCTCGCTTGTCTTCTCTCCGCACAGGGCGCTGGTGAATCCAAGTGTCCTCTGATGGTCAAAGTCCTAGACGCCGTCAGAGGCAGTCCTGCCACCAACGTGGCTGTGAAAGTGTTCAGAAGGGCTGCTGATGAGACGTGGGAGCCATTCGCCTCTGGGTGAGCTGCCAAAGGACCCCGCTGTGGGCCTTGGTTTTACTTTCTCTTCCACCCCTCTTGCTTGCTAGAGAGAGGCTCGCACCATCGGCTAAAGAATCTATTATACGAGTACATCGAAAATGTGGGCAGAGGTCCAGTATGCCCTCAGAAGGCTGCCCTCTTCCTGCTTTGCTTGGCTGGGAGGCAATCAGAAAGTTGAACATCATTTAGGGCAGTTGGTAGGGAACTGGAGTCAGTGGCTTCCCTCCTCTAGCAGTGGTTTGCAGCTTTTTGGGATCAAAGACCAGCTTTAAATAGGTGATGAGATACAGACTCCATGTGCAGAAAAAAGCACACATGCATACACATAAAAAAACATATATGTCATATCAGGAGTTTCACAGATTCCCTGGTGGCCCTAGGCAAAACTCAAGGTGAGAATCTTTATCTTGGAATTTTCAAAAAGATGTTCAATGTGTATTAACTTATTAATGAAAGGAAAGGAATTGAAGGACAGCGTTGACAAGGCACCTGTCTATAGTATATTTGGATCACCCAGGAGCCAGGGCTTCTCTCTAATGAACACTTTAGTGCACCTACTATGTGCAAATCTATGGGCTGCTGAGCTCATTTAAAAAAAAAAATAGAAGAGAGGGCCACATGAGTCAAAGTACAGCCACAGACAAATCTCGTACTCACCCAACATCATGTGCAAAAATGACTTCTCACCTGCATTAGCCACTTCACAATTTTCATGGAATTTCTCTACCTCCACTAGCAAGAATTTCAAAGAAAATACATATTAATCAACCTAAGCAAACTAACCAACAGTAAGAGCAACGAGGAAACCCTCAGCACCAAGCAAAAGAGGAACTGCTAAAAATCTATGTCTCCTGGAAGAAGAATTTCTGTTGGGTTTTAATTGAACCACATTACAAACCATCATTAGGAAGATCATTTTCTCTGGTGTGGTTTTAATTGAACTTGTATTTGTTAATTCATTCATGTTTATATATAACGCCAAGCACAACATGGAAAGAGACTATTCTAAGTGAGAAATCAAATGGACACCAAAAATATTCAGATGTTCTTGTGAATCTTTTTCCCTGTGCCATGAAAAAAAAAAAAAGGAAGTGAAAAGAAGAGAGGAGGGACATGAACAGAGTTAGTAACGACAACTTCTATTTTTAGCTACGGTATGTCAGTTTTTGCAGACTAACTGGGAGCAATTTCTAACATTCAATTATTGAGCTGGTACTTATGTGGAAAAGGAAGTTGCCTACTATTTGTTATTGGCAAACAGTTATCAAAGAGGTTAAATATGTGAAAGCAAAAAGAGTGAGATACAGGTTCTTTTCCTACTTTAGATATCCCACTGTGTGCACAGATGATACTATCTCTGCAAGGTACCTTCATACCACGGGGGCAAGGAGTGAGACCCCACAGTCCTGGGGAACTGCAAAGTTAGAATAGTTATGGCCACTGCCTGGAATAGTCACGAACTTCCATCTAACCACCAACCCTGAATGCCAAGGGCTTTGTTTTTTTAAGTAAAATTATACCTATATTTTATTCTCATAAGAGAAAAAATCTACAGTGAGTTTTTAACATTTTTTTTATATATTTCTTGCCATTTAACTTCAGTTACTAGAGTTTTCTCCCTCCTGACTTGGTTGAGGAAAAATATATATAACACATTCACACAGACACGCACATGTGTGGTGTCATTTTGCCAGGCCATTAATTTTGTTCATGTCTAACTTAAGCCAGACTTTTATACCTTACAGGAAAACCAGCGAGACTGGAGAGCTCCATGGGCTCACAACTGTTGAGAAATTTGTAGAAGGGGTATACAAAGTGGAATTAGACACCAAATCCTACTGGAAGGGAGTTGGCATCTCCCCATTCCATGAATATGCAGAGGTGAGTATATAGACCTTTGAGTTGTTTTTGGTTTTGTTTATAACTCCAGGAAATGCAGGAAATGCAGTTGGCACTTAGCATACCGTGGAAATGTCATAAGGAAAGTCCCCAGTGACAACAGGTTCCCTTTCCTATTCTACAATCAGAAATCCACAACACTCTGAGAAGCAGACTTTTTGCTAAGTTGGTGAAAACTCATTTAATAACATGACCTCAGCTTGCATGACACTATTTATAGTCTATTCATTCCATTTCATAGGAATATGTATTTGTTTGCTGAATAAATAATATGTTTGAATATGAGGCAGCCCTTCAGGCCCAACTTAGGTTATTATGTAACAAAAGAGAGATGAGCCATTGTATTTCTCTAAAACCTAAAAAATTCTTCATTACAAAATACATCTGACTCCCCAGAGGTTTGGATAAGCAATTCTTGGCAATGCACACAGATAATAAATTTAAAATAATGATGACAGCACAATAGATACCATTTACCAAGCACACATCATGTGCCAGACACTATTATAAGTGTTTTGTATATTTAACGTACTTAATCCTCATGAACAGCCCATCGAGGGCAGTCCTTTTATTATCCCCATTTCACAGATGAAGAAAGTGAGACACAGGGAAGCTGAATAACTTGTCAAAGTTGACATGGCTAGTAAGTGGAGGAGTAGAAATGTTTATAAACAGGGTCCAGGCTGGGTCTAGCCCCGATTCTGGTGTGCAACGCAGTGTGTGCCTCCAAAAGCTTTTTCCCTGTGAGAAGCTAAGCTAAAAAAAAATAATAATAATCCACATTTGTAACGCACTCTCTTCTTCCGCTTATGAGGGGTAAAGATCCTCAAAGAGGGATACATGGGCCCAATCTCCCATTCCTGTCTCCTCCTTGTCTTAATTTCTTAAAGCATTTAAAACAGATGGCTGTCAAGGAAATAGAATCCAGACATGTTGGTCAGAGTTAAAGATCAACTAATTCCGTCAAAAATAGCTCGGCATGAAAGGGAACTATTCTCTCAGGCTTAGTCACAGATGAGGCTTTCAATTGACATCAAACGGTTCTCTTAGTAGGCGACGTTACCAGGGAAACTATAGGGGCCTGTTTGACTTCTGGGGCCCACAAGTCACCAAGAGAGTCTATCTATCAAGAAGCACGTCTCTGGCTACTCCTCAGCCAGGCAGCAAGGCGGTGAGCCCAGGCGGGGCATGCGCAGAGTTTAGGTGGCACCCACCACAAGAGACATTTGTCCCTAGAGTCTCAGTCCCTACCCTTGAGCACCAGATCTGCTTCCCTGGGACGCTTGTCCTCCCTGGGCCTCAGTCCAATGAGACCATCTGAAAAGATTCACCACTGCTCATACTGCCCACAGCATGTTGCTCCTGTTCATGAGATCTTCCATCATGAGAGCTTCCTTGTCTGCTATGCACTTTTAGTATTCATTCAACAAACATTTTAAAAATAAAAGCCTTCTGGCTGGGCGCAGTGGCTCACACCTGTAATCCTAGCTCTCTGGGAGGCCGAGGCGGGCGGATTGCTCGAGGTCAGGAGTTTGAAACCAGCCTGAGCAAGAGCGAGACCTCGTCTCTACTAGAAATAGAAAGAAATTAATTGGCCAACTGATATATATAGAAAAATTTAGCCGGGCATGGTGGCGCATGCCTGTAGTCCCAGCTACTCGGGAGGCTGAGGCAGCAGGATTGCTTGAGCCCAGGAGTTTGAGGTTGCTGTGAGCTAGGCTGACGCCATGGCACTCACTCTAGCCTGGGCAACAAAGCAAGACTCTGTCTCAAAAAAAAAACAAAAACCTATATCCTGATGAATTGGAAAAATAAAAGCCTTCTATGTGTTGAGCACTCTGCTAGATGCTAGAGATTCAGAAGTAAAAATGCATGCCTGCCCCTGGAATGAGGAGGCAGGTACTGACACAAGACAGATTGAACAGGAACACGAGCCCAACTCAGGACCTGAACAGATACGGGGGACATATAGTGGATAGAATACCCCATATTTCATTGTTCGTTATACATATGCAAACATACTTCTTCTTCATGTTAGAGTATACGTAGAACAATGGGAGAAAAATTTCTGTGCTTAGAAAAGGAGACTTAACCTTCCTAACGTGGCTTGTCACTATGTAGACGTGGGCAACACAACAATTCAAAAAGATGTTCTGAAAACTGGGAAGAATGTTCTCTTTCAGCTCCAAAATCCTAGTTCTCCAAGTCCATGCTGGGATTAGCAGCCACCATTCTTGGCAGGTCTTCGATCACCGAATGCCAGTGTTTACCTTCTCCTCACCTGTTTCTAAAACCAAGAAAATAGACAAGAGCCTTTAGGCTCGCTGGGATTTCCCTTGGTCAGGCTAGGGCCACCCTGACTTTTACTGTGAATTTGCAAAACAAGAGACCTGATCTTACAGGCCAGAGTGAAGGACTCTTGTTTTAAGGACTGCACAAGGTTCCAAAGGCTTAGCTCGCCAGCAGATTTGGATATTTGCTTTTTCTTCAAACTGTTTTTAAGAAATGAGAGAAATACAATAAAAATAATTAATTTGGCACTGGACGGCCAGTGGTCGGTCTGTCTGCAGCTCACGTCTTCCGGGCCGGGTTGGAAACATCCTGTGTGTCTTCTCCCCTAGGTGGTGTTCACCGCAAATGACTCCGGCCTCCGCCGCTACACCATCGCCGCCCTGCTCAGCCCGTACTCCTATTCCACCACGGCCGTGGTCACCAGCCCCGAGCAATGAGGGACTTCTCCTCCAGTGGATCTGAAGCAGGGGGGACAGGATTCCACGTAACCAATTTTTACTAAAGCAGTGTTTTCACTTCATAAGCTATGTTAGAAACTCGGGCAGAGACAATAAAACATTCCTGTGAAAAGCACTTCTCATTTCATTTTAGTTTGATTTTTTTTTTTTAATTTCCTCCAAAAAAAAAAAATCCAAATTTTACAGAGAAGCCATGGAGTTCTAAAAAGTCTCGGGGCAGATCTCTGGGAGAAATCCAAATTTCCAATGTCTTGCAAGCAAAGCACATATTGAACATGATTTGCAGGCATTAAAAATATACATTCTGAACATGAGAATGCTTTATTTTCCTCTAAGCTTTGGTGAACAGCAAAAAGACAGATTCTAAGGGCCAACTTCTTTACTCTGGGCATTTCTTTTAAGTGTTTTACTGATGTCAAGAGCAGGGCAGCTACAACAGGACATCCCTGCAGTCATTCAGGCCATCTGGTTCAGCTCAGACGGGCTTCGCCCTGTACTCAGCTAAGTGAGAATCACAACCAAGGGACACTCCCACACACGTTTACTTAGACTCATCCAAAACCCATATATAGACAACCGACATGTGCCAGGCACTATCTTAGGTGCCCTGAACATAAAGAATAGGACCCCCAGTGCCTGCATTTCTTTAAGGAGCTCACAATCTTTTGAGAAGGTAACTAAGTCATCATAGTTTGACAAAGGTGATGGGACAAGTCACAGAGAGGGTTTGAAGGAGGAAGAAGCCAACAGCATGGAGAAGTCAGATAAGGACTCAACATAGGTGTCACTTAATCTGAGTCTTGGTAGGTTGTCAAGTACAAAAGGGTGAAGGTATTTTCTAGGTAGAGAGAATAGAGTTTGCAAGGCCACACCAAGTGGAACAATTTGCTAAGTTGAGGGAACAGCGGTTCCGAATGTCGAAGGGTAAGGGTATTGAGGTGGGTTAGATCGTGCCACTATAACAAACACCCCAAATCTCAGTGGCTTCATAAAGTCAAGGTTTATTTCTCACTCCTGCCAGGTCCAACATAAACGTTCTTGCTCTGGGACTTTTCAGGGTGGCTTTCCTTCTCATGGTGACTCTGTGACCCAGTTTGATTTAGTCTTGTGGCTCCAAGGTCACCCTGGTGATATCTAGCCCAAAGAAGAGAGAAAATACGGTATTAGCTTTCTGATGAAAATGTGTGCTAGAATGTCACACATGAGTCCCACTGACATCTCACTGGCCAGAGCTAGTTCCATGGTCCCCATCTGGGTGCACTGAGCCTTGTTGGTCCCTGGCTGGGAGTCATTTTCCAGAGCAACTTGGCATTCTAGAAGAGAAGCACTAATCTGAGTTGGTCAACAACCAAGGTCAGGAGTGGTGGGAAATGCATCTGGAGTGAAGGCTGCCTTCATCTGCCACCCATGAGAGATGTGGATTTATTTTAAAGGGGAATATGGATCCTTTGAGGGGAGCCTTGACATCAGTCATCCCCCACGTGTCTGAAGCCAGGCCAGTGTCTGCTTGCCCAGCATCCCCAGCCAGGAATCTCCAGTAAAACCTGAGCCAGGCCAGGTGCAGCTGGCTTGCAGCTGCATCACAGCATTCTCTGTCTTCACATGGCCGTCCTGCCTGTGTGTCTGTGTCCAGATTCTCCTCTTATAAGGACAGCAGTCACACTGGATCAGAGCCCACCCTCATGACCTCATCTTAACTAATTGCATCTGCAAAGGCTGCTTTTAAATAAAGTCACATTCCCAGGTACCAGGGGAAAGGACTTCAATATGCCTTTCTTAGGGGACACAATTCCACCCATAGCAATGGCCATGAAAGGACATAAACAGAAATTATTTTCTTTTTTTTCTTTTCTTTGAGACAGAGTCTCACTCTGTTGCCCGGGCTAGAGTGCTGTGGCATCAGCCTAGCTCACAGCAACCTTCAACTCCTGGGCTCAAGTGATCCTCCTGCCTCAGCCTCCCGAGTAGCTGGGACTACAGGCATGCACCAAAATACCCGGCTAATTTTTTCTATATATATTAGTTGGCCAATTAATTTCTTTCTATTTCTAGTAGAGACAGGGTCTCGTTCTTGCTCAGGCTGGTTCCGAACTCCTGACCTCGAGCAATCTGCCCACCTCAGCCTCCCAGAGTGCTAGGATTACAGGTGTGAGCCAACATGCCTGGCCATAAGCAGAAATTCTAACACACAGCAAAGACCAAAGGAGAAAAGAACCATTTCAGTAGAAGCAGCTCGGACAGAGGGCAATCAGTGACCAGACAACACATTCCCCTTCTGCCAGCATGCTACATAGCCTCCAGTAGACGACATAACCCAGGGAGAAAGGAAGAAGACTGAGCATTAAACTGGAAGTCAAACTGAGTTGGTTTCAATAGATAAGATTAAGTTTGCTGATACCAAGAGGAGTTGTGGGCAGGAAAGCTAAATTCAATTCAGATATATATACAAGATCTCTCTCTGTCAAATATGCACACACACACACACACACACACAATGTTGCTGCAACATTGTAGGCTGGTGATTCTTAGGGTGGAAAGGCTAGTAGGTGCTCACGGCACAACTGGAGAAAGATTTCTCACACAGAGATTAAGATATGTAAAAGTAAAACTTATTTTATCCTTTAGAAGGACAGAGAGAATGAGAGAGAGGGAGGGAGAGAGAAGGGGGGTGGGAGCAGAGAGACCACATGGCATTCCAAAGAAAGAAAAGGGAGATGCCAGCAGCAAGGCCAGGTGGCTTGCTGCTTTTATGGGAACAAAGAGAAAAACAGTAATTGCTGTGGAGTAATTAAAAGAGCAGGCAGTCACAAGACCGTCAAGTCGTCCATCTTTCTTGTTTCTTCTGTGCCTGGAGACTTGGTTATCTTTGAGATGTAGTCACATCGCAGGGGATGTGACTTTTGCCCCTGAGATATGGTTTGGGGCAGGAAAGCAAGACCTGGAGTCTATTCCCTTGCTGTCTCTCCAGCAGGTTCTCAGGAATGCCTTTATGCTATAGCAACAAATTCTAAAGGCGGAGAAAGAGCTACATATCCTTTCTGGGCTCTTTTCGGATGTTAGTGAAAACCGCGCCCCAGCAGGGTCTCCAGGACTTTGGGACAGAAACAGCAAAAAATAGAGAGAGCTCAAGATTGATCTTTAACCGTTATTAGAAAATTGGGAGATTCAAGGCCACTCTAACAGTGACGATAGAAAGTGGGGTTCCGCTAGAAGCAGAGAATAGAGAATTGTGTCCACACACCATAACCCGAGTCCCCCAAGGAAGACGTCTATGCAGCTGAATCAATTGGGTTTATTACTCTTTCCAGCAAGAGGAAACATAAACCATAGGAAACCACAGGGCCTCTCACCAAGAAGATGTTAGAAAGGATCTACCTTAGGGTTTGGGCTTTGGTTGGGTAATTACAGAGAAGAGTCTGAGGAAGTGGAGGTTCACTCTAGATTGGACGTTGTCAGAAAGTGGGGGCAATTCTATGATTGGGTGGGGGTGAGAGGAAACTTCCCTTTTCCCCAAAAGTTTGCTGAAAAATCAATTCACAATTAAGGCCAATTTATAAGAGAAATAGGGTTTTTTTTTACCATGGGCATGGGGACAATCACAGAGTGATTACTCAATATCCAGTGGGGTCCAGAAGGGGAGGGGGAGATTGGGAATATAGGTAATTCTGTTTAGGGAAAATAAATTGTTGTTAAGGAGGATGAATGGATGGGGGAAAGAGATTGACTTGTAAATGATTTTCTTTGCAAATTAAATTAACCTGAGAGACAGGTGTTATATTTAAAATGATTTGGGCCAGGTCTGGTTGCATTCTTAACCTTCTTTCTTGCAATATATATATTGTGAGAACAGGAAGGGGAACGGACATCAATTGTTCTTTTGATAGGTCTGTCTAGTTTATGCAGATAGAGGGAAAACCGCCTTCCAATGCCTGTTGATCTCTAAGGGTCTTTAATTCAAAACACTCTTTATACCAAGGCGTCATATTTTGGGGTGAAATTTCCTGAGCTCCTTCATTCAGGTGTGTCGAGCCCTTACCTGCAGGGAGAGCAGCCCAGAGCAGAGAGAAATGTGATTGGTTAAAGCAGCTGCACTTACTCATTTTAGTGAGAGGGAGGTGTTTGGTATCCTGTGGGTTTCACAGGGATTTTGTCTGTGTCTCACTTTGTCACGGTCTCAGAGAGCCCTTGTTTGGTGCTGATGTTCTGCGAGATTATGTCCCAGGGAAAACCACAGCTCAGCTTTGAGAGCCAGCTTAGCTTGTAATAACATTGAGGCCAGTTCTCAGATGTCAGGATGTTTTCTATTTTCCTCTATTCCTCAATGTCTAAAGAGGGATTTAGAATAGAAAATCAGCAGATAACTGGCGGTAGCTTTGCTGGGGGCTATGAGAGAATTAGGAGTCTAAGTAGAGTCTCAGGTTTCTATCCATGCTAACAGTTTGAATGGATGAGCCGGTAACTGAGCTCAGGAATATGGGCAGAAGAACAGATTTGTAGTCAGAGATAATGAGTCCAATTTTAGCCACACTGAGCTTGAAGTAATCAGGCCAGTTTTTAATCTCATCACTTCGAAGCTGGCATTGTGTGCACACACGGCCAGAAAACAAAAATCACTAATATCCAATTATCTCCTGAAAACAAAAATTTGCAAATATTAAAATATCTCCTGAAACACTTTGATAACATCTATCAAACAAGAAAATTCAGGGTATTTATGCCTCAAACTCTATTTTGTCCGCCAAGAGCTATATGAGAGGCAATACTTCCTGAGAATTTTTATTTCTCACCCAAACAGTCAGTTTTACAGCTAATTCCTTCCTTTGACTTCACGGTTCACACAACACACCCACCCTGAGCCCCATGACTTCTTCTTACTGCCTTTCAAAATGGAAATAAGCTTAGAATGAATTCCATTTTCCTGGCTCTCCATCCTCTCTGGGTTAGAACTGCCCCAGTTAATTTAAAACCGAGTCAGATGGTCATTCATCTTGGGCAATCAATGCAAATGCTGAAGGTCTGTTCTTCTGGGCCCACTGTTAGGCAGGCTTTCTTAAATAAACACTGGAGGCGTGGAGCTCTCCTCCTGGGCTCAGCAGTCACCCACGTGCTGTTGCT